CCCCCCCCCCCCTTTTTGTAGGGAGCATATCTAGACTGAGCAGGTGCTCACACCACATACAAGAAGGGCCAGAGCCAGAGTGTAGAATACTCTAGCCAGTTCTGAGCCAGGGCACTGGTCCCATAGGCTGCTTTCAGTTAGGTTGAGGGCTGTTTTGGCTATGTGTGTGCCCATAATCCAGGGACTAAAAAGGTGGTGTAGATTTGGCCCTCAAGAGTCAAAAAGTACTGACCCTGAATCTCCCATCCCATTGATGTGTCTTTATTGTTCCAGTGGATTTAGTCTTTCACTTACACCACTGGGAATGGGGTTTGTAAGTCTCTCAGTGAAAGCAATTTCGGATAATTTTGAAATGGGAAGGAAAAATAGATACTGCCTGAATACAGGCTTAGCCTCAGAATAATTGCCCACAGGCCCATAGCAGGTAAACAGGGTCCCTCTGTCCTTCCTGTGGGAGCCACCTCCTAAGAGGAAGAAAGTTCTCAGTCCTTGGCCTCAGCTGATGGTGAGTAATAGGTACCCAGTGAGGGTTGGTTTGGTGACCTTCGCTCTTTCAGAAGGAGAAGCAAGCATAGCCTACTCACCGGTGGGATCAACCGGCAGGATCGAATGTACTCAGTCATGCCCTGGCACTGGATATCAGGATATTCGCCCCTCTTGAGAAAGAGCTGTTGTCCCATGAAGTTAGAATGCTCGTAGAGCATGAAGCAGCCACTATCCACTCTCACAGAGTTACAGCGGCTGAGGTAAGCTTGCAGGTCAGACCGATCACTGCTGCATTCGAATGATCGGCCTTGGAAGTTCTTTTCCTCGAACAAGGTAATCTGGGTTGAGAAATAAAATGGGCAGAAGCTAAAAGGAAACTTTGTCCACTATGTCTGTATCTACACATTCCAGTTTCTTTCCTCCAGCACCCCAGATTTCTAGTTTCTAGGCCTTACCTTTTACACCATTGGTGATAAAGAATATAACTCCCACTGAGTGCAGAAGAATTAATGACTTATACCAGTGTGAGAACAGATTCAGTCTGTGATTATTTAATGTGAAGGGATTTACCTGCACCAAAGTTTGCACAGATCTGCTCACATTCTTGACTCGCATCACACTGATACAACTCATTTGAAGTCAATGGTGTTACTCGGTTGTTAATAATAAGAGAATTAGGGCTTATCTATACAAGAAAGTAGCACACAGAAAGATTTATAGTGCACTAGCTACTGCAAGCATTGTGCACAGAGTTCACTTAGACTTACTGTATGGACGCTCTTCCTGAACCCTATGCACAAAGTAGCTCAGTCTACTCTAGCAAGCAAAAGTAAATTAATTCCTAGGTTTACTGCATACCGACTTCCCCAGGCATACCAGCCTGCAAGTCCAAGCTAACATACAAAACAATCAAATCCAGACAGGTTTCTCTTACCTTTCCCATTGTGGCTGGATTCAAATCACAAGTTGAGATGTTCTGTTGGGTTAGTGACTGCCTTTATATACATCACAGCCACTGCTAATTGTGCACAAATGAACAAAAGTTTTTTTCTTTGACCAATCAGGGTAATTCATGACTCTGTGGGTCTCATTCACTCTTTGTTTTAGTGTTCTTCGGTTTTGTGTAGTAGGGAAAAAGGTTTTATTCTGTTGTCACCAGTGACAGGCTGAGGACAGCGGCTGTCAGCATAGCCATTTTTTTTAATGGAAGGCAAGGTAGTTCAGGAAAAGAGAGAAACTTCCAGCAAAGAGGCAGAGGCATTGGATGCTGATGTTACTAGTTCTTTACAACATACTGTCTTTCAAGTGCACTTTATGAACATTAGTTCTATGCTCATGTTTATCATCAAAAATCCTGGGAAAGTTCTGTTTAACATTTTTGTGATAACAGACTATTCACATGTTGTCACTAGGGAAATTAGAATCCAGTATGAAAATGACTTCAGATACAGTTTCATTTTATGTCTATTGTGTAAGGGGGTTTTTTTCTTTTTCAATTCTGGGTCTATTGGAAGGTTGGGCTGATTTCATGGACTGAAGGCAGAATTCTAAAAAGGGCTAAGTAGGACTTCAGCAGAACTGAGGCACCTAAGTCCAAAACTGCAATACAAAAGTGCCCCAGGTACCTACAGTCCTGCCTCTGTGCATGATCAAAGCTGGCCCAGCCCTTGAAGCATGGAGCTCATCTTCCCTAGAGGTCCAATCTAAGATGATCTAGGCCTAAAAAAAATAAACAAACCCAAACCAGTTGGGCTCCTCACAATAAGTAGCAGCAGCCATCTTACTCTAATAGCCTGTGGTTAGAGCACTCACCCAGTGATTAGGAAACCTGAGTTTTAGGTCTTCCTCACCCTGAAGTCATCCATGCTTGTAGTCCCCTCTTGAGAACCACAACCATCACACCGTGGAATAAACTTGGGGTGAAGAGTTGCCTAAGCTGGGTCACTGTGACAAAACGAATGCAAGATTCATGGGGCCAGTGACAAAGAACACAAGGGAACCTCTCTCTGTAGACTAATGGTGAGGGCATTTTTCCAGGATGGGGAATCCAGAGTTCTGGTGCCTGTGTCTCAAAACACAGGCTTTGAGGTATTTTATTTTAATCACATTGCAAAAAAATGCATAAAATATTTTGAGAGAGACTAGAAACTAAGATTCCACCCATGCAACTGAATGTAGCATGATTTCAATAAGAAAATGCCCTAACTTCAAACTAGCCTATGGCTTCCTGATTAAAACACTGCCCAGGGAATGAGAACTGTTCCCTCAAGCTGAGGAGGAGATAGGAAATGGAAAACCTAAGTCCATAGTGAGTGCTCTAAGCAGTAAGCTATTATACCCCAGAAAAATCATGGAGCAGTTCCTCAAGGAATCCATTTCTAAGCACTTGGAGGAGAAGAAAGTGATTATGAACAGTCAGTATGGATTAAGCTATGGCTGACCAACCTGATTGCTTTCTATGTTGACATGACTGGTTCTGGATGCAGAAAAAGCAGTGAATGTGATTAACCTTTACTTTAGCCAGGCTTTTGATGTGCAAGCAAGCTAAGGAAGTATGGGTTGGGTGAATTGACTGTAAGGTGGATAGAAAGCTGGCTGGATCATCAGTTACAATGGGTAGCAATCAATGACTTGGGGTCTAGTTGGTGGCTGGTATCAAGTAGATTAACTCAAGGGTTGGTCCTGGGGCTGGTTTTGTTCAATAACTTCATTAATGATCTGGAAGATGGGATGAAGTGCACCCTCAGCAAATCCATGAATGACACCAAGCTGGGGGGGCGGGGGGGGGCGGGTTGTATTAGATACACTGGAGGTTAGGACTAGGATTCAGTGTGACATAAACAAATTGGAGGATTGGGCCAAAAGAAATCTCATGAACTTCAACAAGGACAAGTGCAACATCGAGCACTTAGGATGGAAGAATCCCACGCACCAGTACAGGCTTGGGACCAATTGGCTAAGCAGCAGCTCTGCAGCAAAGGACCTGAGGGTTACAGTGGACAACAAGATGGATATAAGTCAACAGTGTGCCCTTGTTGTCAAGAGGGCTAACAGCATGCTGGGCTGCATTGGTAGGAGCATTGCCAGCAGATAAAGGGAAACAATTACTTCCTTTGATTCTGCACTGGTAAGGCCACATCTGGAGTACTGTGTCCAGTTTTGGGCCCCCAGTACAGAAAAGATGTGGAGAAATTGGAGAAAGTCCAGTGTAGGACAATGAAAATGGTTAGAGGGCTTGGGCACATGACTTCTGAGGATAGGCTAAGGGAACTGGGGTTATTTAATCTGCAGAAAAGAAGACCAGGGGGTGGGGGTGGGGGGGGGAGGCAGGGATTTGATAGCAGCCTTTAACTTCGTGAAGGGTGGTTCCAAAAAGGATGGAGCTAGACTGTTCTCTGTGGTGGCAGATGACATAACAAGGGTCAATGGTTTCAAGTTGCAGCGAAGTTTAGGTTGAATATTGAGAGAAACTTTGTCACTAGGAGGGTGGTGAAGTGCTGGAACAGGCTACCCAGAGAGATTTTTTGGAATTTCTGTCCTTGGAGGTTTTTAAGACCTGGGTAGACAAAGTCTTGGTTGGGATGATCTAGTTGGGGATGGTCCTGCTTTGAGCAACCCTAATCTAAGATCCTGTGAATAAGATTGGTCCTGGCACCACCAGCGCCACCATGTAAGCACCTACACCCCAGAGAAAATTCTGGGCTCTGGACAGAGGAATATTCCTGCAGCCCTCACTTGCACACCTGAGGTTTGGAGGTATGGGAAAGGAGGTTATCATGCTCAGTATTTCCTCTTGGCCAGATCTAGACAAACCCTGAGTATGAGGTTTTTGGACTGCTATTCTGAGGTATCTGACTCTCTCCAGGCACTGCATATGGAGGTTTTGTGCCTAAAACAAGGGTCTGAATTTCAATGTAGGGATCAGAAGCCTCAAAGGCAGGTATGCATTTGTACTTATCTAAATCCTTTCTTGGATTTAGCCAACAGGTCCTGTCAATACTGGGCTATTTCTGACTGATTTGTCATGGTATAACTCTACTGATGTAATGCCAATTTTTCTAGTCTAGGTAATATAGGCATTTCATTGTCCTTGTTAGTCAGTTGTCATAGGAGGCTTGTTTTCCAAAATAGTTGCATACTTCTGTATTTTCTCTGACTTGGTAGGTGCTGGATTTTGGGTAACCCATTTGATTTATCAAAAGCATTCAAAGAGGATGGGAAGATTAATAAGTGTGCATACACTAAAAAAGATGTGCCCAAATTTGTAATGAATATAAGGACAGTAGAGCAAAACTGTATTCATTACACCTGCATTATTGCCTTTGTGTTTGCTCAACTGCATACAGCATCATTTTATTTATAAACAGCAGCAAATTTTAGCCAATCAAAACTGAAGACTATGGCAATACGTAGATAAAGACAGTGCTAGAACAACGTAGTTAATCACCCATTTGTTTAAGTCCCAGTATAGTATTCGGCTTCTTTTATCTCAGATCAGTTTACAAAAAGCAGTCATCATATACTAATCCTTTCCATCTAAAGCCCTTTAATGTATTTTTCTCCGTATTGTTCTAGCGTTCACATGTCCATGGATGTCAGTTTAACAGCAAGCTTTTTTTTTCATGGCAATGAACTCATTCAGAAGGCAACTCTCTTTGCTTTGGCTTTCAAGGGTTCAGATCTGTGCATTTCAACTTTTCATTTATATTAAAATTCTTGCACTAGTGTAGAAATACTAGTAAGAATATAGAGCCCACTTCAACAATATAAATATTTCCTTAGTTTTACATATGTGTTTACATAAGTCTATTCCTATTCAATATGATTCCTGTTCACTTTGGCAGGCCTTAGCTAAGCTCCTACAAAAACTTCATAAAAGGGGAATTTTGCTTGTCTGTATACTTCATGCTAAATATTCGATCTGATTCAGTCCAGCTTAGTGTCTGATGCCACAACAGGGGCAAAAGAGGTGCACTAGAGGTTATATTGTCCCTGTCTACAAAAGCCTACTTGTCCACTAAAGCCTTAACTTGAGTCGCTTCAACGGCAGTGGCTAAATACCTGCAGCATGGGTATTACCTTTGGTCCCCTGAACAGCCCAGAGTTGAGGATGTGGGTAATTAGAGCAACTAGGTATTCTCTCAGACACCTAAGAGTAAACCTGTAACCAGTTAGGGAAAGGGAATCACGTAGAAGAAGATGATCCTAGGTATAATACATTTAAAAAGCATTCTCAGGCTCCAGGAGGTTTGATGAAAGAACCTTTGAACTCAGAAGCTTCAGCACCAGAGCAAATGTAAACGTTACTTGGTTCTAGGCCTCATGGTGAAGGTTTTAAACAGGTATTCATGCAATCTGTAAGCAAGATCAACACACAAGAACCACTGAGCAAGGACAACCAGAGCACCTGTGCTTCAAAGGTATTTATTAATTTTCTTTGTCATGCACAAATTAATGTACAATACTATAGCCAAGGCATATATTAATACAACTGTACAATACAGCAGTTTTTAATCCTATATCATTTTAAAGTGCAAGATAATATCTAAATGATATCTAGTGTTCTATCTGTAGCACCACATGCATCCTTCCTCAAGGTCAATTCCTGCTACACAACTCCGAACTGGCCCATCCATCTCCTATTGAAGTAAATTAAAAGGCTCTCTTGGTTTTCAACAGAAGTTGGCTGGATCTTACATTGGATTTTACATACAGCTATGTTTAACCAAAGCAGACTTATTCAGCAAAGCACTGGACACCCATGCTTAAGACTAAGTCAATAGCATTTATACATGTGCTTGAAATCTTTTGCTGAAAAGAACTTGACTTACTCATATACTTAACTACTCTGCTGAATTGCTACCTACAAAGGTGCTGAAATGAGTATTAAAAATTCAGGAAAGGAGCGAGGGGGGAGGGAAAGAGAGAGGCCACAATGATAAAACTGTGTTTGAAAACTAGGGCTTAACTGAAATATTTAATTCCAGATAGCAAAGAGGACTGTAAATGAAAAGTAACATTTGAGGATGAGAATTGCATGTGTTCACATTGAGATTATATTGACAGGATATTTTAGAGAAGGAAGCAATTACTAAGGTACAAAAATAGAACAGTTGCATCATCAAAACGTAGAGTATGTACAGAAGGTTCATGGAGGTTAGGGGGAGGTTAGATCACGTTAAAAATGGCCACCCAATTAACTTAGTTCGTTCAGATGCAGACTTTACATTTAGATCTCCATTTAGGTCTAAATGTGAATGGTACAGAAGTTCAGGAAGGTTAGATCAGTCTAAAAATGGCCAGCCCAATCTAAATTAACTGTACCTTGGAGGTAATCTAACTTGGATCAGGTCCAGTAAAACCAATCTAACTGAACTTTTGTATAGTTCCCAGTGCAGCCCTAGGAAACTCCAGTCTCTCACCCTGATCAGAAGGACAACCCCCACATTGCAAACCAGCCAGCCCCCACCCCCCTCAAGCCTGCCAACCCCCACATCCTACAAGCCACTCTCATTTTTACTAGCATTCACTGGTGCTGGGAGCCAAGGAAGTAAGTTGGGGTGAGGGGAAAGGCAGGTGAGATGGGAGGGATTGGTTTGCCTGGGGAGGGTGTTGGTCTAAGGGTGGGGGATCAGAGGGCTAAAAATATTGTTAATCTAAGGGTGGGGGATCAGAGGGCTAAAAATAGCCCCTGGTCCTAGGGGGTGGAGAACCCCCTCATCCCTCCCTAAGCCCCCTGCAGATCCTGCGTGCCTCCTGCCCCCACCCCCATTCCCAATTTACCTTAGATTGGGTGGCCTTTTTAAACTGATCTAATCTTCCCCAAACTCTCCAAATATCTGTACATACCCCTAGGAAACAAGACCATCTCTTGCAGCACTGCAGGAAAAATGAACTGCACTGCAGAACATGGTCTTCATTTCTTCTGTTACAGGTCAGGCCTGTTGCCTCCTTGTTATATTTTTGTTTCATTCTTTGTAACCTGACTTGTCCCAGAGTCCTCTGAAAAGATTTCTTGTTTAAGTTCTGTTCTGGATCCCTGCACGATACAAGCATTCAATTGTTTAAGAATAAACACAGTTTAGCAACGAAGACTACATTCATCCTGATTGCACAGTGGAAACACAGCACTTGCGACCTAGATTAAATAAGATTTTTACTCTAAATTGCTTCTGAAACTAAGGGTAGTTTTATATTAGTGTGACTCTAGTGATGACTTAGTGGAAGCATTTGTTCATTTTTTAAAACAAACTAGCTAACAAGCAGCTTTGTGTGTCATAGATAATTCCAGTGAATTACTTCTGTAAAATGGAATATTTGCCAGAACAAACACATTTTAGATGAATACTTCAGAATATCACTGAAATGCAAACCGTGAACTGGCATATACTATCAGGCAACTGTAGGATTTTCACTGATCTAACAAAATCAAATGCATGATTAATGCTATCATTCTCTCATATAATTATAATAATAACTCCTAATGCTCCTTAAAAGTCCTCCATTGCACGTAGTTTCAAGAAAGCCTCCAAGGACTTCACAGGACAGTTTGATATGTGCGAGCATATCCTATTGCTGAAGGAATTATTTCCTAATTGTCTCTAGTTTGTATTTTTAGACCTACTTTGCCTTCCTGCTGCTTTTCTGAAGATGGAGGTTCTGGTAGCTCACCATCCTTGTTATTTCTTCTGCTGGTACTGTTGGCAGTCTTTCTTGCTGCTTTTTTAAATTTGACGCCTTGAAAAGAAGACATTGCCACTTTATAAAGTGCCTCCACCTTTCACCCTGAAGAATTTCCAAATGGTTTATAGCCTTTCTATTCTAGATCAGTACATGATATGTGCTTGTAGTATTCTCTCATTTTTGCTGTATCTGAAGTAGGACCGTGGTATCTTTTGTGATCTACCGCATAACTGACCATTATGGAAGTCCAAAATCAACTGCAAGCTCAAGGTTGCTATGATGTTTCTTAAAAGGTATTAAAGACAAATCCTCTGTGCAGTGAACTTAATGCCATTGTTAAATTATAATCCAGCAAGGAATGCTCCATCTTTAATAATTCTTTGCATTTACAAAGTCAGGTCTATTAATTACAGTAGGAAAGTTCCCTGTGGACACAATCACCTTTGGGTCAGGCTCACAGTACTTTTCATCTGTAAATCCTGGGGCATTTTCCAAAGGGGGATAAGCATCATTATTTCTGTGCCATGGACAGGGCAGTAGAACAGAGAATTGGTTTGTCTGTTGTGGGGCACATGAGTGACAAAGCGGGAATCAGACTTTAGGTTTCTTAACTCCTAGCCCCCTGGACAGCCCTCTAGTGAGATAAGGTAAAACAAGCTTACTCTGTTTCCAGGCATACTCTGCAGCTTTGGGAGCTGTCAGCATGGCAAAAGGGTGCAGTGAGAGGTTGAAAGGGTGAATCCAGTGACCCTAGAAGGACAACAGCATTCACATGTAAATATATGGTCTGGAATAGCCTGCCGCTGGAGGTGGTTCAAGCACCTACTTTGAACACTTTCAAGAGAAATTTGGATGTTTATCTTGCTGGGATCCTATGACCCCAGCTGACTTCCTGCCCCCGGGGCAGGGGGCTGGACTCAATGATCCTCCGGGGTCCCTTCCAGCCCTAATGTCTATGAAACATGAAATATTTGACATGCGCTGTTTTGGGTAACTAAAAATTGTTTGTGTTTATTGTTTCCCAGAATATTATTATGAATCACTGGTATTTTCCCTTTATTCTGAACTGATTATTTTTACCTTTTCCACCATCTCGCCCTCTCCTATTGGCCTGCCACGTCACATTCTCTGTGTTAGTTCACTTGGGTATTTCCTTCCCAGAACCACGCATCCTAGCCTTCAAACAAGCACCGAACCTCGCCAACCTCATCACCAGAAGCAAACTTCCTACGGCCTAAAACACACTGAATGGATCCAGACCGTGCCATGACAAGAAATGTAAAACCTGCCAACACATCTCTACCACCCCCACAATTACTACACCCTACAACAGAGCCATCAGCATCCCAGGATCTTACACCTGCACCTCCAGAAATGTAATTGTAGCTAGACTGCCAATGTGGGCTCACCAGACTGGCTTGAGATACTTACCCTGGGCTAGAAACAGTGCCGGTGAACTCTGAGCGACCCCAAGGGTGGAGCAGGGGAGCCCTGCCCTGTGGAAAAAGAGAAGCCAGTCGAAATAAGGGGTTTTCAATCCCCTCATTTGCGTGGAAGGGGGATGGCCGGAGTTGGGGGCCAGCCACCCTGAGCCCTGGTTGGCCGGTCTGCAAGCCAGGGAGGGACAGCCGGAGGAGATAAAAGCAGCAGGCAAACTGGCATGGGGGGCTGCTGAGAGTGACTCCGGGGAATGATGCATGAGGCCTAAGAAGAGCTGGGGTGAGCTGACCCAGCAAAGGGAGCAGAGAGACCCCTCTGAAGAGCCTCGAAGGCCCTAGGAGAAGTCAGCCATGCCTCCAGCCCTGCAGCAGAGAGGGAGCAGAGGCCAGGGCTTGGGGCAGAGAGCTGGAGCCCCAAGGGCCTATCGCAGTGTGCTGGACGTGCTGGGTGTCCCAGAGGCTAGGGGTGGCAGTCGGCCCCTGACTCCGCTGCGGAGAAGAAGCAGCAGCCAGGAGCGCAGGTGGCATCCTTATCCGGAGCAGGGAGCTGGGCTGGTGAGTTGAGGAAACCCCTTTCCTTCCCTGGGGAAGCAGGACAGCAGCAGGCCAGGCACTGGGATCCTGAGGAGCGACAGAGCACCAGGACGAGGGCCCCTAGGAGCTTGGGGCGCAGGCCAGCGCTGGTAGCAGGATTGGCGAGCCACGAGGTGTGTGAAGTGCCTGGCCAGTCATCTGGAGCAGGGGTTTAGAGCAACGACCCCTGGGAGCTGCCTGTGCTGTTGACCCTCTGCCACTGACTGCCCCAGAGGGGACTCAGTCCTGTCCCTTATTCTGCAGCTGATTGTCATCGGATGGAGTCCCTGAGCTTTGTGCTTTGGTAATGCTGATTGCTGCAGGAGCCTACTTTGTTGCTTGCCTTTTTGGTTGCCACAGAGGGTCACCCTTCAGCTTCTTTGTGGGGGTTGGGGTTGATACAATTTGATTGCTGCAGACCAGAAGAGCTTAACCTGTTGCATTCTGTCGCTTATTGGGAAGCCTGTGGGAGCTGCTGGGAGTGAGCACCCTGCTTCCTTGTGGTAGCATCTCAGCAGTGGCAGAAAGCTGCCAGTTACCCTACCTGTGGTTCTCGAGTCAAGGGCTGACTAATGCATTCGGGTGTGTTTTGTGATTCTGGTTATGCCATTTAAGTTCACTTAAATGAAGGGCTGAGCACCAGTAAAGGAAGCGCTGAGCACCAGTATCCTGAAAATCAGCCCCCAAGGTGGCTTACATTTTGTACCCAAAGATCCAGGCACATAAACTTATTAGTTATTTTTTTAAATTGTGACCCTTAGGGCACGGCTACATCTGGAAATGAGGCAAAGTAGCAGCCCCACACTGCCTACCCTGCCTAACTTCTGGGAATTAATGGGTGAGTAATCTGTTTCCCTGATGCTTCCAGCCCTGGCACAGAGGCTATGTAGATATACCTTTAGGGCTTTGGAAAAAATTACCCTTTAGGTTCCAAATTCAGCCAAGGACTGAGGTATATGCTCTGAAGAAAAGGAATGGATTTCACCAGATGCCTAATTCCATGCACTAAATTGCAGGCCAGAGGGATTCTCAAAATACCAGGCTCATCTTCCTCTGAAAACCCTGTTATCTTGGTATCAGCCAAAATTTGTTTGTCATGTTTCCAGAGACAGGGATTGCCTCAGACATCACTGCTAGGTTCAGATTTAGAGTAAACGAAAGGGAAAAGGGCTAAGCAGTCAAAAGTGAAATCCTTCCCTGCCTGCTTGAGTCATGCTAGGAATTCTAGCAAGCAGAACCCAAATCAGCGGGAAGGAACTATGTGAAAAGGTAGGATGAGAAGTTTTGGAAATTTTCGGAAAACAAAAACCAAACCTCTGACTCCTTTATACTGTGAAGTCTTCAGTTTGAAGGCAAACTTCCAAAAGATGTCAGGGTGGCAAGGATCTTGGCCAGTGCACCAAGAAAAAGGAAGCAAAGAGTTTTCAGAGTGCTGAAGGAAATGTATCATCCACAAAGTCCATAGGTTAAATGCAATCCCCACCATTGTCTTCAGAAAATGAAAAGTGAGAGACCAATGCTACCGTGCTGAACATATTCCACGAACTGAACTGGGTACAGCAGGTGTAGGTAACCCCCAGCATGAGTGCATGGCACACGAAAGCATTTAGCATGCATGCCTCGGGGTAGATGGCAGGGAAGGGGCCTAGGCTGTGCTGCCACAACAAAGATCAGGCCCCTTGCGGCTCCCCCACCATCCGCCCCTGGCACGCCAACATCGTACGAGTTGAGGTTGTGGGTGTTTTTGACAATGCTCAAAAACGTTGCCAACCCATGGGATAGAGTTTCCAGTTCCATATGCAGATGAGAGAATTGACCAACATGTTTGTCACTTGCACACAAATATATTTGCCAGAGAGTAGTAGTAACCCCAGGCAGTTGCCAGATGGCAGTCTTTACTAACAATAAGGCCAGACATGAATAATGTAGTTTATAATAAGTGTTCCAAACATTGCTAGATACATGTAAGTGATTAATTGCAATCCAATTACAATTCCACAGCATTTTTCAAAAGTTGCTTTGGTAACATTTATTTTTAATGATACCAACTATATGAAGCCTAAGTATTCCAACACAAGCATTGTTGTAGCATACTGTTAGAGCGAAGAGGAACTTAGATATAAAAGTCAGGAATTAAAGCCTGAAAAATACTGCTTGACATGCAAGTGGATTTGTTTCACTGAAGAACTGGCAAATTTTATCTTACAGAGATGTCTACTTTGAAAATTATAACTCCTTGATCCACTGGCAGAGGGTTGTGAAAGTTGCTTTCCTTGCAGATACAGTTTTGCCAGCAAAATGCAGTGTATTAATGTAGCTATACCAACAGAAGAGACCTTCTGCCAGTTCAGCTTGTATTACTTGGGACATTTGTGCGTTTAAGTTTACAGGGGAGGGGGGGAACTCCTGGGGGGGACGACCCCCAACCCTTTTGTGTTGATATACAACATCTCCACTAGGAAGCCCTGCTGCCATAGCTATGAAGGCAACAGCCTAGTAATATAGGCAGAGCCAGGAGGCTTGAAGTGTCAAAGGAATATCTGTATCCACAGTGAAATTTGGGATGCAGCCTTCCTCCCTCCTCTCCCTGGCACAAGCCTAACAAGCCTCTCCTTTGCCCTAAGCCAGGGAGTGGAAGGTGCAGCTGATGGAAAAGCCAGCTACATATACTCCTTTAATGCAAGTACAGAGCTTCAGTATGTTAAAGAAGTACTACTGGTGTACAACAACTCTGCTGCTGCTGAAGTTGAATATTAAAATCCTCATCTCCTTTAGTAATGCGAAGTGAAGCTCTTGACGCTTTGATCCTATCACAGACATAAGCTAAACAGTATTGGCAACTGGCTGGAAGATCTATAATTAATAGATGCCTTGCCTTTACATATGGCAACTGACACACTTTTCGTTGGGGCAGTACTGAATTTGGGCACCATCACTGCCACCTGCTGCCAGAAGTGCCTTCTTTGAAACAGAATAGAAAACAGAGGTCCTGAAAGCTCCTAAAGGGAACTGTAAAGGGTCTGATCATTTAAGAGGATGTTTAATGATAAACACATGAGTCTTGCAGAAGTCAGTGGGGTACTCGTGCATTAGACAGACACTTAAGTGCTTTACCAGCTCAGTACCTATGGGAGTGGGGCATTACCCTAATATCCTGGCCAGCTGGAGAATCAATGCCAAAAATTCCAAAAGTGCAGTGTGATCTCTTCCTTTTGTCCACTGAATAATGCTTGTGCTTCTATGCTATAGATAAGTTGCTCAGTTACTGATTAAAGAATACATTCAGATAGATTTGGTGTCTGTTGGTATCAAGAGCTGCATAGATAAAATAGACCTAATTTCTTTTTCTTTCTCTCAGCCTGGGCATTATTTTCAGCTGGCGCAGCAGAAGAAAAGCTCAGTAGAAAAATAGGCAACTCCCTATTTTTGTCCCTTTCAGGAACAAGACCAGCTCCCTAAAGGTCTATTACACAAACACAAAAAGCTTTTGTATGTTTGCCGGTCTTGTAGTGGTGCCTTGTTGTTCAGTTCAGCTAGTAAAGTTCAGAGATCCAGCATAAGATAGATGGAAAGAATGAAGTCAGCAGTCAACAAGGACCATTATGGCAGAAAGTGAATCGCAGTCTGAATGGGAAAGTCTCACTGGCAACCAGTACCATATCTGCTTGAATCCAAGATGACCCCCCCAATAATTTGATTCTATATATGGAAAATGTGATAAATTTGTTATTATTTTCC